CGGGCTAACTCGAAAGTGTCAACACCGTCTCGTGTGGTGCTCCTCCAAGCGTAACGGTATGGAGTGATCGTCTCCCAGGTGAGGGGGTCCATTTGACACTTCAGATTTAACTTAAGACTAACTTTATACCTTTTCAGTTGCCCGCCAGCATTACTTTTACTATTCGTTAGGTGACTGTAAAGTAGCTGCTTTGGCAGTCTACTGTTGTCCATGCTGGTAACATGACCAGTCCAACATAGTATTCTACACTTGGTGTCAGCGAGAATACTGGCATTTGGTCTATTGTCTTTCCAGCGAACTCGGAGGATGGAACGTAGACTACGTTGGTGAAAGATTTAAAGTGCCTTGAGGTGCCTTCTGTATGTGACCCATGTCTCGCTGCCATATAGCAGGGTGGGGAGGACCACTGTTCGATATACGTGCAACTTTGTAAATAATTTCAGCTCCCTACAGCTGAAGACACGGGAAAAGAGTCGAGCAAAGGCTTGAGATGCACATCTGACCCAATGTTGAATCTCTTCATCGATGTTTGCGGTGGTGGACAGGTGGGAGCCATGATACTGAAAGTGGGTAACATTAGACAGGGTAGTGCCGTGAACCTAGATAGATGGTGGAGGTGTGGCTGAAACAGGGGCAGGCTGGAAAGTAATATGAGTCTTATGTACATTCAACTCAAGGCTGAGGTGTGCATACGTTCAGTGTGAGTGACGAGAGTGAGGTAGTCTGCATACTTAAGTTCAGTAATGGAAGCGTCCGACACCTTCGTTCCTATCAGAAGTCGTCCTATGTTGAAAAGTCCCTTCATCCGTTACTGGATGTCCACCCCGACGGCTAAGTTGACACTGGCACGATTAAGGAAGGCAGCCAAGAAAATGGAAAACAGAGTTGGTACCAGTACACATCCTTGCTTTATCCCCGTTTGGATGGGAAACAACTCAGACTGGGTGTCATTGTGCAGGACACTACCCTTCATGCCATTGTGGAGTCGCCTCACAATGGCGATGAATTTTCGTAAGCACTCTTATCTGCACTTTTCCTGTATTTAGTGGTCAGCAAAGATCATGTCAGTGGTGCCACGTGATTGTCTAAACTCTAAAGCCACATTGAGATTCCAGAAGTTTTCTGCCTCAGGAAGAAGTCTGCTTAGGAGGACTCGGGCGATAATCTTACCAACTACAGACAGTAGCGAGATCCTGCGGTAGTTGCCACAATCTGACTGGTCTCCCCTGTTCTTATAAATATTGACGCTGAAGGTGTCTTTAATAGCTAAAGCAGCACTTTTGTCTTCGACGAGTACGTTGATTTCCGGATCATTCTCATCAAACCAGTCCTGGTGTATTCTTTCGATCTGGCCAAGCGGTCTCTTTGTGGGCTTTTTGCCATGACATTGCCAAGGAAACCCCATTCGCCACTCGGATATGGATTGTTTGTTGTCTGGTTGTTTATCAGCCCATCCTCAAGCTGCTCTCTGAAAGCATGTGCTACCGCTGGATCCTTCAGGAGCTTGGCTCTGACGAGCCGATGTTCTGTGTTACAATGGTTTAAGCCACGCATGACTCGGGTGAAAAGGGCATCTCGGCAATCTCTTTCTCTGACATTGATGTAGTCAATGAGATGCTGAAGAGGAGTAGGCCTTTGGGGTTACACTTGCTTACTCATTTTCTCCCTACGGTTCCTTGCCATATGTCAGCATCTCTTCCAACTCTGGCGTTGTAGTTACCTAGGGGCACATCCCTATCTTCTCTGGGGATAGAGATTAGCATTCTGTGAAGGTCGTCGTAAAATCTTCCTTGATGTCATCCTCTGCATCCAGTGTTGGGGCATATGTACTGATGAAGAAGAAATGACGTGAATGATTCAGTGGGACTCGGGGCGTCATGAAGCGCTCGTTGATCCCAACGGGCATTTCAGCATATGTTGGATGGATTGACGAATGGTAAAGCCAACTCCATAAAAGTGGTTTCTTCCAGAAGAAAGTATAGCCAAACACATGTTCTGTGAGTTGACCGTCGTCTGGGAGCCGGGACTCACTGATGGCTGCTATGTCGATGTTATACCTAGCCAGCTCTTTTGCCAAAAGGGCAGTTCTTTTTTCAGGACACTGATGTTGGCCAGTATCCAAAAGGGTCCTGATATTCCATTCAGCGACCGTTAGAGGTTGCACAGTTTGTTTTTGCTTTGATCTGTGATTATGATTATGTTTTCCACTGCATTAGGATGACCTTACTGGGTGCAGCTGCCCAGTCAGTTTGGTTGTTTTAGGCAGGCTAATGTTTGGGGTACCTTTTCTAACCCTCTCCCCATGTGGCGTGAGCAGAGTGGCTCCTGGAAAGGGCTGCTCAGTTGCAAAGGCAGGACCGAATTACACTGCTGCCTAGAACCCAATGCATAAACGGCCATCTCATCCATGCTGCCCCTGTGCAAAGTTGTGACTAGAGACTCCTGGCAGTCATCTCTGCCTGTCTCCGTCTCTATTCGTCCGTCGCCATAAGACTTTTGGGGGTATAGTGGTTTTGATAAGGATGAAAAGTATGATGAGCTGAATGATAACTACACGTGAGTTGATTTATGTCGTGAGGCAGGAGTGCAGGTTGCAATCACACATTTTGGCTCTCCCTTTTCCTGATCTAGTGGTGTAAGTGTTGCAGCGACTGGGGAGAGGGAGAGTTGCAATGGATTGCCTATAGCCCAGTTTATTGGGTTCTGCCTTAGTAGCCTGTCCATCTTGCATTGCCTTCATCCACCGGTCGTTGGGTTCCCATGTTGGTCACCTTTTCTGCCTTTGGGGTCTTACTGGAGCTCTGTAAGCATGTCTGCCTGATGTGGGGCTCCATTGCAGATTTTTCGTTTGGGGTTTACTCCCGTAGCTTTATACCTTCCAAGGTTGATCCACAAGGCAGCCGTCCCTCTGAGGCCCACTGCTGCTCCGATATCCACTGCTGGTCTAGCCTTGGGCCGCGAGGCACCCAGTTACCGTGTGTTGCTACGAGGAGGCACAGCAGACGTCTCGATGGTGAAGAGGCTGAGTACTGGCAGGGAAAGACTTACGCAAGGTTGCTTTCCTGTTCACTACGAGGGCTAGCCAGCGATGGTAACTGAAAGTTAGAGGAAGCAAGCAGTTCTTGCACCTTAACACAAACATAATGCTACCATAGTAGACGCATTACATCACTCTGTGGGCGCGCACGCAAGCACGCACACATAAATAACCATTACTATACACACTAATACCTCTTGTCTCTGTATTCACTCGACGTGCTTCCAGAACTCTCTCCTCGGGTGAGTGTGTTCCCATGCCATCATCTCTCCTCTCTCCCCACTATCCTCCCTTCTCTACTCCCCCCACCACCACCCCCTCTCCGAAACTCAAGCTGGATCAAACTGGTTTGTTCTCAGTTCTCACTGATGCCTTCTAAGCCAGGGGTAGGTCAATGGTTGGGGTGAGGAGTGTTAGAGAGAGGGTGAGTGGTAAGGATGAAGGGAGGGGAGGGTGAAGGGAGATGAGGGTGAAGTGAGGTGAGGGTGAAGACAATGGAGGGGAAGAGAGAAGGGGCAGCGGTAGTGACGAATCAGGAGGGGAGGTTTGTGGGGAGGGTAAGCAAGTCTATTCTTTGGCTCAACTATAGTTCACGCACTTAATCATTTCATCTCGTATAGGAAAAAAATTGTCTTAACCTTCAGATGGATCTTGGTCGTGACAAGTCCCCGTAAGACAGGAAGGTGTTCACTCTCCAACAGCTCCTCGACACAACCCACCTTCATGTGGCCCAATAAACGTCTACCTCTACAAACGTCATTCTTGTAACCTCGATTATTCTTAGTGGTTCTCCGAGTGATAGAAACATCACCGCTTGTCTCCACACCAGCGACATCATCAGTCAAATGTTCTCGGTATCTTGGTGATTATCTGATTTTCGCTGTTTAGATGTGATTTGATTAAGCTGAGGTGACACAGGCTGAGTTGAAGCTGACAAGAGACGAAGTCAACAAGCTGAATGTAGGAGATTTGGGCCACGAACGTTTGGGCCATGGGTCAAAGTTACACAAATAACAACATAATAAAGTAACCTGAAGGCTCCTGACTGGAAGAATTCCAGGGGTAATGAGGGGATTAAAATTTACAGTCAGGAAATTTTGGGTCCATGGCCCAAACGTCCACCCTATACACAGCTCGTGGCCCTAACGTTTGGGGTCTTAACCCAAACGTCCCGTGGCCCAAACGTCCGCCCACCCCCCCACTCTTATGTTCCAGCCGGGAAAGGTTGACATATGAAATTAAGAATATAAAATTATAAAAACAAAAAATATTATTAAATCTTGTGGTCTATCAAATGTTTGTCAACACTGGCGCTGAAGTGTTGAAAGTTATAGTTTAAAGAAAATAATGAAGTCAGAAAATTAATTTCATCTAGGAGCAAAAGGAAGCTATATTATCAACCTGACGCCTGACAACTGAATTCTTACCAAGCAGCCACTGACCGGACCAACACGATCATCACAACACCCCCCTGATTGAATGACCTCACACTGCCTCTATCATGACGCTCTGAATAGGTTGTTGCTCAAGTATTGTACTGGCGTATTAAACATTGTAAATTAACATGTTAGTAAGGTTAAGGTGTCTCTTGTATGGAATTTACTCTCTTGTACAGTGTTCAATTCAATTCGTTAACATTTGGGCAAAACTAGACTACAGCAGCTTCGGGATATTAAAAGGTTATCGGGTTTATTGTAATCCTGAGGCGTCGGCCATCTTGGTTACTGACGTCACAGAGTCGAGTGTTCGCTCAAACAGCTGATGTTCATAACGGTATTTTCTTCACATCGACGTTACTTTGTGTTAACTAGAATATTAGCACTAAACTTTGTACATTTTTACAGAGTTTTTTCATCAAGTTTGAGAACATTTTTAAAAGTATGTAAATTTTGCTATATATACGCTAATATGCTTTGAGACAACTGCAGCACGTCGCTAGCCCTGACCTTTTTAACTTGTTCAGGTGATCCCACTGTGTTCGGGAACCTGAAGCCAGCCAAGGAGGTCACCGAAGCCGTAGTCACAGCCATCCAGAGCGGCAAATACAACGGATACGCGCCCACTACAGGTCAGTTTGTTGGACTCGTAATAACTACCACAACCAACTCAAGCTACCATGACGACTACTACTACTACTACCACCACAGTCATCACCATACCACACCTTACATCACTGTACTACGTCACAATAACCACCAAATTTACACTGCATAACCACACCGCCACCACCACATACAACACCACAACGACCCGATCAGTAGGTCTACCACACTTTCACTCTTGTACTCTTAGCGGTTCAACAGCTCACTCTTTTTTACTCTTTGTCCTCCTTTCGTCTGCCAATTATCTCCTTCCTTTTCCACTTCGTCTTGCATCCGTTTTCTTTCATTCTCTCTTGATTTATTTAGACTTTTCTCTTGTTTCCTTTTCTTTTCGTTTATACTGTTTTATTTTGGTTATCTCACTTTCTACTGATTTTATCACATTTTTTTCGCGTGTGTTTCTTTTAATGATTTTCTTTTTTATTATCGTGTTTCATTTTCTCCCCCTTCTGTTTGGTGTCATCTTTTATCACATTATTGTTATTCTATGGTTATTGCCTGTTAATTCTTCTTCCTCTTCTGTTCTAAAGTTTGCTATATCGGAGTCTATATTTTGTCTGCTCTTTTGATTTTCTCTCTTTTCTCCTTTTTATCTTAATTTCTTTATTCCTCATTTATTTAATTCATTAAAAAGTCCCACGTTTCATAATGATCTTTTTCTTCATCTGTTTTCTATTTCCCATTCCTTTTTATTTTATTACTCTCTCTCTCTCTCTCTCTCTCTCTAACCCTTCTCCTATTCTTTTTATCTCCTCCCTCCACTGAACCTCTCCCCCTTCCCAGTCTGTGCCGCCTCTTCCTCCTCCATCTTTCCTCAGTGACGCTGTTGCAGTTATCAGTGACACGTCATAGAAACATCAAGACAAGATAACTGAATAATATGTATCAAAGGCAGTCATTTATCTGATAGTTTAGTAACTGGAGAAAAAAAAAGAGATTATGTTTTGATTGTAGATATTTACACTGCTACAAGGAAATTGGATGGGAAATACCTAGTTTATAGACGATGTGTTTGAGTGACAGTACAGCAGCTGGACCTATAGGTTGTATAAGATTCGCATGACCAAGGCGTAGAGGTTATATACCTTTTTAGAAACCAGCCACTACCGGTTCATACCAGCAGCAACTATACACTGACAGATGGCGACAGAAAACTACTGCAGTAAAGTGTGGGGCTGTGCTAACGAGACCAAAGTATTAGAAACACCCAGCCGAGGCCTCTAGACTACAGTAGATAACCTCTATAACCATACAAAATACAGACTTTTTTTTTTTTTTGCCATTTGGTGTCTCATTGCCAACTGGGTGTACCTGAAGATGAACTATTGTCCAACGCTCCCATGTGCCTCCCGACCCACGTGATGACAATGGCATGAGATATGGTGACGAAATAAAACTTAAGGCTGAGAATTTTCACCTTCTGCGTTGTCGTTATGATTGAGTTTTGTAGTTGATAATGTCTCCTACAGAACTATATTGTATGATGATTGTGACCTCGCTCCAACAGCCAATTCAGTCTGACAACGTTTACAGCGTTGGTTGGGTCAGACACTTAGCAACAAGCCCAAGGGCGTGTTGTCTCACGTGTACAGGTCGTGGGGCGCCGCTTACTGCAGGGTCTGCGGCCACAGAGTTCTCAGAGTACAGATGTGGAACAAGAAAGTAAATGCGTTATGTTTGTGATTAATGTTAGCATCTGGCCAAAATTTTCAGCGGGGTTTGTGTGAGAATGACAAAATGTAGTGAAAACGGAGTGAAGGAGAGAGAGAGGCTGCTAGATTTTTTTTCACTGGGCAGAGTTGATTGGTTGCTACGCGTGCAAGACTCACCCCAGCCAGTGGCGAGTGGACTGGCATGACGCAATACCCAGGCTGATGTCTTAGAAAATACATTTCTCTAATAGTCTACGTTTTATTGAACAATTTGCTAAGTTTTTGCTTTAGAATGTTACAGAACTATAGGAAATGCCATGTCGTTTCCAAATTGAAAAAAAAAACAAAGACATCAAGATGTTCTCTATAAACACTGCATCATCAAACAGGCTTGTAAGTAATTATCTTCCCTTTATTACACATTATCATTTAAGATTGAAATAGGATATCCAGAAATACTAGCAGACAAAAGTTGTCACATGAAGTTGAGGGCTACAGTATCAAGTTAAATATCTCTCACTTGAAGATCACCCAAGACGGTGAGATAAGCCAAGGATTGTGAGAGAGTAGGAGGAGAGCCTACTCAATGTTAAATTTATCCTCCGCGACGGTGGCGACGCCAAGCGGTTGGTGAGTAAAAACAATTAAGATCCCTGCTTCTTACGATATTGTGCGATAACACCAGATGATTAGGTAAAAACAATTTATATATAGCCAGTAAGTTATTGACATCCAACTTTATATATCTTGGGGTAATTTTTCAAAGTACCACATTGATTATTTTGCAAAATTTTTTAATTATTTGCCTACTTAAGGGAACTCTCCCTTTCGTTCTTCAGTAAGAGCAAAGGTGGTAACTACAGTTATACACCATTTGAATGTCGATTTTCCTGGTGATTCCAAAAAATATGTATATACCAAGTTTTAATTATAATAATAATAATAATAATAATAATAATAATAATAATAATAATAATATTAATAATAATAATAATAATAATAATAATGCAGGGAAATTGTCATATATGAAACTATGCAGTTACTGTATAAAGTTATGCAGGTATACAGTTCAGCCTGTACATATAATCCTTTGTTTAGGCTAAAAAAAAATCCAGTGGCGGATTTACTGTAGTACCTAATTACTGTAATTTAGCACACTGAGAAAGTAATGAAATGCGAATTTGGTACATTACCTTAAGGGACCATAGCTTTTGTATAGGGAGAAAGAGGTGTAGGAATAAAAGATTTGTGTGAGTAAATATTCGTAGAGAGAACGTTCGCATAGAGAGGCATACCTGTGGCTGGGAGAAATATAACAAAAGGAAACAAAAGCAGTGTAATGTGGGCTTATTTTTTTTTGGGCTTTATCTCTCCTATATATATATATATATATATATCTCAACATTGAGTTCCGTAGTTGTACTTTACCGAATCTTAACCATTTGTTTTTTCTTGAAACGACACAAAATTGCCAAGACGAAGGTAAGGTTAAGCAGTTAGGTTAGATTAGGTAAAGAACGGTTCGGTAAAGTTAGGTAAAGAACGGTTCGGTAAAGTTAGGTAAAGAACGGTTCGGTAAAGTTAGGTAAAGAACGGTTCGGTAAAGTTAGGTAAAGTTAGGGTAGGTAAAGTTAGGTTAGGTGAAGTTAGGTTAGGTAAAGTTAGGTTCGGTAAAGTTAGGTTAGGTAAAGTTAGGTTCGGTAAAGTTAGGTTAGGTAAAGTTAGGTTCGGTAAAGTTAGGTTAGGTTAGGTAAAGTTAGGTTCGGTAAAGTTAGGTTAGGTTAGGTAAAGTTAGGTTAGGTAAAGTTAGGTTAGGTAGTAGGCAGCTGCCAAACAGGGAGGTACTACCGCCTGGGAAGATATTGAAAGCATAATGTATTGTCTCATGGTAGACTCAGCTGCCATATGGCATCACAAAAATTGTGACCAAGTCCCAGGTTGCTGATCTGATTTTCTGCCTCATTTACACTTAATTGCAAGGTCTCGATTGTTTCTCTTGCAATTGACAACACAACATACATTCAGTATATAATTTCTCACTATTGATCTTTTTTTAATTTTTGTATTTCTCTATGGTTCTTTATTATCATTATTATTATTATTATTATTATTATTATTATTATTATTATTATTATTATTATTATTATTATTTCGCCCCCCAGGCACCGATATGGGTCAGTGACCTGTGGGCTAATCCCCGTGGAAAAAAATAGGTAATGATAGGTTAGGTAAAATTGGGTTAGGAAGGTAAAGTTAGATTTGGTTAGATTAAGTTAGGCTTTGTTAGGTTTGGATTGGTTTGTTTTTAGCGTGATTTTACCATACAATTTGGGTTGGGTTGGTAAGGCTTTCATGAAATTGCTGAAGAAATGAATATGAAGACCATTCAAAACACATCGAAACATACGGGAAAAACATAATTTCGTCCAAAAAATCGTGGGTGATCTTAAAACGATTAATAACCCAAAACGTAAAAAGTCCAGCCTATATTTTCAACAAGACAGCAGTATCCCGCTCGTCTGATGCTAACTAAAGGTTCTGGAATGTGGAGCGTTATCAGTATTAAATGCATTAAATAAAGAAAGAGATCATAAAAACTAAAGAAGAGTCAACAGTCAACATTGACAGAAGTAGGTGTATGACTCACCTCTCTCTATCTTTCGGAAATCGAAAGAAAGACAGACTTCTGTTCCTTACGGAGTTGCTAAACACTTAATACTTGCACATTAGCGGTGCACCATTGCAGCTGATATAAAAAAATAACAACAAATCAATGCCGCAAACAGAGAGAAGCTCGGGAAGCAGCCATCCCCCTGGACTCCCCGCCCACCTGGTACGATGTCCTCCGTAAACTTCCTGACCTCTCGTACGTCTACGGGAAAGGGTCGCGGAAAGGGGAAGTGATTGCTGCCCGTATCATCATTGGGAATGACTTTGCTTGGGAGATTGGTATCCCCGCATCCCCTGAGCAACGCTCTTGTGCATTATGCAGAAGACCCGACAGCAGCACCCTTATTCACTACCTCCTAAGATGTCCCCACACACAACGCTTCCGTGACGCCTGCTGGACCACCACTCCACGACCCCCTGACGGAGACACGATGATCCTCCCCATACTGGCCAGATATTTTGTAAATAATATTGATTATGTGTTAAAGGAATATCCTTCCTTCCTTAGGCTTTAGTAAGCCCCTTTATAATATTTATACTGTATATACTTGTCACACTTGCCAGATGCTTCTGGTGTCATTGTACAGGGGTACCTAGTGACAGCACTAGGATCCCGCTTCCTCTATCAAGGAATAAACAATTGAAATTGAAATTGTAACTCGATCCTCCCTCAAAAGTAGGCATTTCTCCTTTTGGAGCTCATCCAGGGTTGGTGAGTGCTTTAACCCTGACATGTGTAGTGGAACGAGGACAGTGTTCACTTAATATGATCTGAGTTGTTCTGACAACAGCTTGACTACTTCTCGAGATTTTCTTTACAGAATATTAATATATGTGTCAGCTTTTGCGGCTGAATATATCATCTAAAGACATATTAGTGTCGAATAACCCAGGACTCTTAAACACAATAATTACTACTATGACCAAAAAAAAAAAATCTCCTAAGAAATATTTTTGATGCATTAAAATTCAGGGTTATATCTCATCATATTTAATTGCTAACGGACTAGTTTAATTACCAAACTCTTAATTGCCTTAATTGGTACAGGCTATGATCAGAATAACACATGGAGTCCCTGAATAAAGCCAAGAACTCTCACAACCACGAATTTGCGAGAATTGTTGAATTAAGTTCCTAGAGGACAGACACCAACAATAAGTGTGAGCCGCGTACAGTAAATCAAAGCCTAATACAACATTACGCAAGGACCATAATTATGTTCTTTTTTTGTCTGGGAGTGATTCATGGATGCAAAAAAAAAATAATAATACAAAATAAATGTTTAAAATACTAAAACAAATCCTGAAAGAATACCAATTGTTAGCGATGCACTTTACCCATTAAAATAAATTATATGAGTATAGAATTTAGTAAACGAACATCAGCAAAAAAAGCGACCATAAAGGAAGACACATAGAAATATACTTGATAGAAAAAAAAGAATATGAAGGTAGTGAACGGGAAGAATGACATTAAGGGAATGGATAAAAAGTGTTGCCATAAGTGAACCTCAGAATCTACCAGGACTCAGGAAGACTACAGAAAGTGAATCAACAACGAAATGATTGGAACGTGTGCTGAGGAGAGGAGAAAAAAGAGATAAAGTGAGGAGAACAAAGAGAAGCAGGAGAATCCAAAGAATGAGATAAAAGATGCGACTAAATGGAGTTACGTAAGAGATAGAAATAACAGAGAGAGATGAAGCACATGACCGAGAATTGCCGAGAAAGGAAAGGAAAGGAAGTGAAAGGAAAGGAAGTGAAAGGAAAGGAAAGGAAAGGAAAGGAAAGGAAAGGAAAGGAAGACCCGATTGGACAACCACACAACAACAAACGCGGGATTAAAGAGAAAACAGATGAGAGGGAATAAGTATGTAGACAATAATATCAACTCAGAAGAAAGACAAAATTGAGATATGGCAAACGAAAAAGTCGAGACCATCCGACTGACGAAGGATAGAAGAGGGAGACAAGAGAGTGAGAAGGAGGAAGAGAGTGAAGAATTCTTTCACCCCCCCCTCCTAAGAGATAGACCGCCGCTTGAGGGATAGACTGCTCGAGGGATAGACTGCTCGAGGGATAGACTGCCCGAGGGATAGACTGCACGAGGAATAGATTGCTTGAGGGATAGACTGCCCGAGGGATAGACTGCACGAGGAATAGATTGCTCGAGGGATAGACTGCCCGAGGGATAGACTGCTCGAGGGATAGACTGCCCCAGGAATAGACTGCCCCAGGAATGATCGCGAGGGACAGACTGCCGAGGATAGACTGCCCGAGGGATAGACTACCTAGAACCCCCAGGAATAGATCGCTTGGGGGATAGACTGCCCTAGGAATAGACTGCTTGCTCGAGGGATAGACTGCCCCAGGAATAGATCGCTTGGGGGATAGACTGCCCTAGGAATAGACTGCTTGAGGGATAGACTGCCCGAGGGATAGACTGCTCGAGGGGTAGACTGCTCGAGGGATAGACTGCTCGAGGGATAGACTGCTCGAGGGATAGACTGCTCGAGGGATAGACTGCTCGAGGGATAGACTGCTTGAGGGATAAACTACCCGAGGGATAGATTGCCCCAAGGATACACCGCTTGGGGGATAGACTGCCCTAGGAATAGACTGCTTGAGGTACAGACTGCTCGAGGGATAGATTGCCCCAAGGATACACCGCTTGGGGGACAGACTGCTTGAAGAATAGACTGCTTGCGGGATAGACTAGTTGAGGAATAAACTGTTTGAGAGAGACTGCTTCAAGGATAGACAGTATAAAAGCGATAATTTGTCAATCTGAGAGATTTAATTCTACAGTTTGATAATTCTAAAGTCGGAGAGAGGATGATAGTTCCCCCGTGGGTAATAATTTCCCCCCCAAAGCCCAGGTTACCATAATTTCGTCCACATCACAACAAGAACAACCATCACTACAGTATCAACTCTACGTTCAACAGTTATACACATTTCAGATTCTCAAGAGCTCGTAAGTTCATGAAAATTCGTAAATGGAAATAAAATTCTCATGGTGGAATCTCTGTGCAGTTGTGACGTCATTTTGCCAATTTTTAACTTTGTGGAATATCTTCAGTGAACAAGTTGGGAGTAGTTTTTGCATCTCTACCTATACGAGGAGGTTTAATTTATGAAGCCTTGAGAATTGTTCTTTGTGTCGCAACTTAAGTGAACAAGTTACGTGTTGTTATATTTTTCACTTATGGGGTAAATTTAACTCGTGATCTTTTGAGAATTTCGTGTCAGGATGTCTCGTCTATTCCTGAATGACTCACTTACAGTATATAGACTCCCATCTCCGGTCCATCTGTCTCTATTGGGGGGAGATAGTTACTCCCTTTGCCTCTCTTCCTTGTTTGTCTTTTTTTGCTCCTGGTTCGGTCAACAGAGAAATGTTCGTACATTGAAGATAGAGGAGTTACGTGTAGCTGCTCCCGAGTGAAAGATTTTGTTTTTCTATCTACTCAAAGTCGGAAAAAAAAAATAAAAGAAATGATGATTTTAGTTTTAACACACCATTTTTTTTTGACAGACTCGCTCTAAGTTTCCCTGGACGTGTTTCAGTGTAGTGATGGTAGTTTCTTTCCTTCTATTCCTATGTTAAACTGAAGCATAATGTTTTGTTTTAGAAATCTGTCACATGAAAGTTACTAAGAACCTTGTTGGATCATTTAACATCAGTGAGTAACCCGGAGGAACGTTTACGGCAGGTCATCCTTCTCCTCAGTCTGAAACAGTTATCTTGAATCTTTACCAATGTTAAATGTCTTGCCTCTAAAATCTTGATGGTTAGTATCTCATTTTATTGCCGAACCTCCCTGATGGACGCATGCCAACTCCTGAATTCTCCCTGGAAAATATAATCAAAATTTCATCTTGAAGAACCTAGACTGTGACGCATTGTTCTTTCCCTCGATCCCTCTCCCCCTTCAACCCTCTCCCCCTGAAACTATTCCCCCTCCCCCTTTCCCTCTCTCAAAGATCCGACGCTTCAATATTTGGTCCATTTACGAGACAAGAATATCCCTGGAACATGATTGTGATTTCACACTAACTTTCCAGGATACGTCGAGGCAAGAGAAGCGGTCGCCAAATACTGCTCAGTCCCTGGTGCTGCCGAGCTTGAGGCTAAGGTAAGGTCACTGGTCTTTTGCTATTCTCATTTATCGTCATTATCACCTCATTACCATTCTCTTTTCCACCTCACTAGACTTTCCTCATGAGTCCTCAGTGTCCTCCTTCCCTTAATTTGGTTCTTGATCCATTTCTTCAAAGTCTTTTTTTTTCCTCTCTATCTCATCAGTTGCCGGATATAATCTTTGGAGTTTTTACCACATAGAGCCAAGTAAGATATTCTCACGTCATGAATATGTAAACCATCTCATCTCTTCTCTTCGGCCTTGTTGATCGTCACCGCATTTATGGAGAGAATTTTCTTTGATATGACTTAGATTTACCATATTATTGTCCTTTACTGTTTTATAAGAGATTTCTCCGTCTTTCCCTATTTGTCTGTCTGTCTCTCATACAACTGCTGCTTATACCTGTCCATACGATCATTTTTGTCATCTTAATTTTTAATTCGTCATTGTACTCTCAGAATAACTTTTACCAATGAACATTTGATAACCATTTAATGTAAGTTGTGCGCTCTACCAGATGAACTCTTGTTGTCATGTTTAGGCACCAGCTCCCTGTGTAGGACCTCTCAACCACACAATGATTTTCACCGGTAATAAAATCTCATTCAGTTTAAAACAACCCGTCTCAAGTGTTTGGCCGCTCCCTGCGCATTTTTGTTTTCTTAATTACAGTATATATGTAGAACTATAATTTTTTCCTTCTGTCACCACTATGAGCATCACTACCACAGCCATCATCATCACTATCTTCCCTAGTATCACCATTACATGACTACCATCATCACCGCCATCCATCAGAGCCGCCACCATTACCGTCCAAAGAGCTCTCATCAACATTAATAAAACATGTAAAATTCACCTCCAAGTGATTTACGTTACGTCAGTGAGCTGGTCATCGTCTTCACCCCAAGCCTAACGACGTGACTCTGGGGGAGATTTTATAACGCTCACAATAAACTATCATCACTAGGAGACAGTTTAACTTCAGATGTGATCGAGAAGTGATGTTATGTATGTATGTATGTGTGTATGTATATCAGGAACGCATCTACCGTAGTTCAGTATTATCGGTCGTAACGTCACCAAGTGCTAGGATAGGATTTCTTCGCAGTCATTTGTTTTTAACCTACACGAACGAATCAACACTTCCATTTTGATTTCTCTAAGAAGTTGAGAGAAGTTATGTGCATCTTGGGCGTCTTCCACTCTAGGAAATGATTCGCAATATATGACCAAAATTTAAAATTCAACTGACGCACTAGCATCAGAATAATCAAGTATGCTGGCAAACACTACTTGACATCCTTGCTATGACTGCATTTCAGGCCTCACTGTGAAAGCGCATCTTCTCCACCCGGCCTGAGTCAACTACAGCTCACAGATGATATGCTGAGTGTGGTGACCAGTACACAGCGGAGTTTACCAGACCCTCCCCTCTACCTACCCGTCTCACTAACTCTCTCTCTCTCTCTCTCTTTACCGCCACTACACATTCTTCTAGACCTTCTTCCCCTCTCATTTTCTTCCTGTTCTCCTTTATAACTCCCCCTACCCCTTCCACCGTTTCCTTCACCTTCCTCCTCTATCTCCACCCTCCTTACCCCTTTCCCATTTCTCTCTCCCACTCCGCTTAGTACCCGTCTTCCCTTCCTCTCACCCATCCTCCCTCCCCCCACCTCCATTCTATAATCTCTGCAATAACACCCCCCTTACCTTCCGACCACGACTCCCCTATCTCTTCCCCCTATCCACCATCACCCCTCCCCCCTCCTTGTGCCAGTACGTTGCCACCCTCACTTGGCAGTATAAGAGGCACACACAGTTATTAATAATATTGGCACGGGAATGTTATGCTCGTCTGGCTCCTTGACCTTGAATCCCTTACACAGAGACAATAAGAAAAGAAACAGGAACGAGCCACTGAGCAGAATATATACAGTTCAGTAATGTTTCTTTTATAATCGTCGGAGTTACGTCGCTACGTCATTCAGATGTAACTTAATACCATTTTTCAGTGATAACTAAATGTCGTATTTGTCCTTCCACCACACCACTTATGTTTCTTTATTTGGATGACTGTTATAATTTACCTCACGTAGGTTAATTAAGAATACCTGGGGATAACGTGGCCTTGGTATTCAGGTTAACTACCTGTGTGACGTGGTCCCCCTCTACCTGTGTGACGTGGTCCGCCTCCCTCTACCTGTGTGACGTGGTCCTCCTCCCTCTACCTGTGTGACGTGGTCCGCCTCCCTCTACCTGTGTGACGTGGTCCTCCTCCCTCTACCTGTGTGACGTGGTCCTCCTCCTCTACCTGTGAGACGTGGTCCTCCCTCTACCTGTGGCGTGGTCCTCCTCCCTCTCCCTGTGTGACGTGGTCCTCTCCCTGTGTGACGTGGTCCTCCTCCCTCTACCTGTGTGACGTGGTCCTCCTCCCTCTACCTGTGACGTGTGTGACGTGGTCTCCTCCCTCTACCTGTGTGACGTGGTCCTCCTCCCTCTCCTGTGTGACGTGGTCCTCCTCCCTCTCCCTGTGTGACGTGGTCCTCCTCCCTCTACCTGTGAGACGTGGTCCTCCTCCCTCTACCTGCAGTGACGTGGTCCTCCTCCCTCTCCCTGTGTGACGTGGTCCTCCTCCCTCTCCCCTGTGTGACGTGGTCCCTCCTCCTACCTCTACCTGTGTGACGTGGTCCTCCTCCCTCTCCCTGTGTGACGTGGTCCTCCTCCCTCTACCTGTGTGACGTGGTCCTCCTCCCTCTACCTGTGACGTGGTCTCCTCCCTCTACCTGTGTGACGTGGTCCTCCTCCCTCTACCTGTGTGACGTGGTCCTCCTCCCTCTACCTGTGTGACGTGGTCCTCCTCCCTCTCCCTGTGTGACGTGGTCCTCCTCCCTCTCCCTGTGTGTGACGTGGTCCTCCTCCCTCTACCTGTGTGACGTGGTCCTCCTCCCTCTACCTGTGTGACGTGGTCCTCCTCCCTCTACCTGTGTGACGTGGTCCTCCTCCCTCTCCCTGTGTGACGTGGTCCTCCTCCCTCTCCCTGTGTGACGTGGTCCTTCCCCACGCTAGGGTTCGGCTGACCTTCTCCCTAACCTTCCAGACTGCAGTCGATCCATCAATAATTCGCAACATCTTCGGTTTCATTGACGTCAACTATCTGTTCTTAGGTAACGAGATCGTGACGTAATAATATATATATATATATATATATATATATATATATATATATATATATATATATATATATATATATATATATATATATATATATATATATATGTGTGTGTGTAACGCCAGTAACAGATATTGGTGTTGTTACTATAGGTGATAGCAGTCACACATCGCTGGAGTGACTGAAGGCGGTAACACGTATAATGACATTATAATACTGTATGTATTTTACACTTTAGATGACACATGAACGTTCAGTTGATAAAGGTAAAAAGTCAGTGCAATCATTGACCCTTTAGGTACGAAAGGGTTAAATCATTATCCTCGTAGGCAGGACCACCCCCAGAGGTTAGGGGGGGGGGGGGCTGCAGTAAAGTGAGTTCATTAACTAGACTACACATAGTTACGCAGCTGTAATGTTTAGTATCATCTGCCATAATTAATAGATAAAGGAATAGGTAACATACACAGTAGATGACCTGTCTCGCTCCCTGGGTCATGGTGGTATATTTAGCTGGACAAACTCAACCTAAGAAAAAATAAACCATTATTATTATCTCACGAAAAGCTAAAAAAAAAAAACTTACGAGAACAACACAAGAAAACAACACCAAAAGTTTATACAGATGGTTAATTCATTGTTGAATAGTTGATAAGAATCTAACACTTATTCTGTACTAATCTTGGGGGTGGAATTGAGTGATCGAGTACCTCCACCTAGCCACAGCACCCATGCATATACACCACCACCACCTCCTACGTCGAAGTCAGTTCTTGAGGAAGGTGACGTGGCCGAAGTATCGAGAATCTGGTAAACCTCAGACCCAAAGCAGTACCTCACCGATACTGAAAGACGAGTCGCTAACTTAACTTAAGGGTTTGTGACTGAATGTAATACACACTCACCTTTTCAATACTGGATTTCTACTTTAAAACCAACATTTAAACCACGATAGAAAATCAATATAACATAAATAAATAAAAATAATAATATGCCGAATTTAATGATATTTCAGCTCGAGTCTTTTACAGTTAGGTTGAATCTGTGTGGGTGAATGGTGGGCGTGTCGACTTGGTGATATGATGTGATGTGACTGTTTACTGACAATGACCTCCGTGTTATTATATCCTTGGCAGTCAGAGCTTCAGTTTACTCATGTGGGATGAATTATTGAACACTCTCGAAGTTTATTGAGTAAAATTAATTAAAGTTTCATATTTTTTATTGAATTTAAGCTGCGTCAACAACTCTACGTGTTAGTTTGTCTGTCGCCCGCCCTACATGTCTTTCGTTAACATGAGCTGTGAGAGGAGACGAGAGGGAAGAATTGAGATGAGGAAGAGGTGAGAGAAGAGAGGGAAGAAGAGAAAGAGAGGTGTTAACGCTCATAGGAGCGTTACTGGTTTGTTGCTGGAGAAATAAACCCTCAACGTTGACGCATACCATATAATTCGGTCAAAACCTGTTAAAGAACATTTCTCATATAACAAATGCTGTTATCTCAGGACACATATTATGAAATACAATCAATATACAATACATAGCCTGTTAACATCTTAAATATAACTCGCATGTTATAACTATTGATACAGGAGACAATTGGTATAATATGATCAAATTACAGTACACAAATATACTTATTAAAGTTATTTAAAGTTTCTTAACAGATTCTAATACTTCACGATCACTCACGTTTTAGGGTCTAGTGGTCTGAACCAACGTGTTGTCTGGCCTGTAGAAATCAGTAGACTACCCTCGAGGGCAATCTCAGCCCGGAGGCGAGGGCCATATGTTTTCGTATTGAAACACCTCAGCAGATTGGTCAGCAAATTCGTTGTCAACACTATATCTCTTATCTCACCCCCCCTCTCTCTCTCTCTCTCGCCTAGTTTATCTTATTATGGTTATCCCTCTCTTTCTCTCTCTCTTCTAGCTTATCTTACTGTGGCGGTAACAAGAGGAAAGAGGTGAGAGATGAGAGAGATGAGAAGTGAGAGATGGGAACGATGAGAGATGAGAAGTGAGAGATGGAAAAGGTGAGAAGGGAGAATTGAGATGAGGAAGAGATGATAAGAGAAGTGAGAGATGGAAATGGTGAGAGGGGAGAAGTGAGGGATGGGAAAGGTAGGAGGTGAGAAGTGAGAGATAAGAGAAGTGAGAGAGAAAACCAGTGCCAGAAAGGTTTGCCAGAAATCGCAAATAGCTGCCATGTTTTCCAGCCAAAGTGATCAGAAACTTGTATGAATGGAAGAGGAGGTATGGGAGAGAAAGAATAGATGAGGAGGAATAGGAGGGAAGAATGGAAGAGGTGGGATGGAAAAAGGAGGAATGGGAGAGAAGGATGGAAGAGCAGGAACGGGAGAGGAGGATGGGAGAACAGGAATGGAAGAGAAGGATGGAAGAGAAGGGGAGGAATGGAGGATAAGAGGAGTTGTGGTGGACGGTGAAGGAAGGGAAGGGAAGGGTGAGGGTATAAAAGTAAGGGAGGGGGTGAGGGGAGGGATAAGGGGGGGAGGAATGTGAGGTAAGGGGGTGTAGAGTAACAGTGTAAACAGCATGACCTTGAGGGTAAGTGAGAGGATGAAGAGTGTTGCATGACAACCTTCAGACACACGAGAGAGAGAGAGAGAGAGAGAGAGAGAGAGAGAGAGAGAGAGAGAGAGAGATTAACTCATCAACCCCTAAGTCCACGGGAGTTGAAGGGAGGAGAGGAGGTTGGAGAAAGGGGGCGGGGGGTGAAGGGGAGGAGGGGATGGGAGGGTGGTGTATGGGGAGGGGTTGGATGGGGTTGAAGGGGGGTGCCGTAAAATCCCGTGACGGTAGCAGAGTGCCAGGAAGGTGGCCAGCACTAGGGCAGTGCCAAGGTGCCACTGCGTCATGTCATGTGTGAGGCAAGTGTCACAACTCTGGTAGTGGTGGTGATGTTGAAACGACTAAGACAAAGAAGAAGAAGAAATAGAATAAAAGGAGATAAAATGAGAGGAAACGAGAGTAGGAGAACAATTTGTGTTAATAAATAATAGTAATAAAAAAAGTATTATAATAACAACGATAAGAACAATAATATGAAAACTAACAAAATAGACAAAGTTAAAAAAAAATACAAATCCAACTTTCTCTACACTGGAGTTTAAGGCTCGTAACTCGGCAACCTTGTGCAGTGATCCACGTAAATTAGTACAATGGAATAGTCTATCAAGAACACTAAAATCTACTGTAATCTCGGTAACTACTGGCCTCTGTAACATGGTCAAAAATACATAAATTCGAAAGGTATTTATATAAATGTTTAAAGCCTGTATTAAGGTATTTATATATTTAATCATCTACTGTATGTACAGGATGTATGTCGAACTGTAACACAATAATGGACCAGAATCCTCGTCAATTGAGCATTTTTGGGGTATCTTTGACCTATCTGCATAACATATTATTATCCTATGCTTGACCTTTAACCCTTAAAAAAATATATGCCCTCAAAATGCTGCACTAACTCTGTACTCATTCTACATATCTAGTCCATGTTATGTTGACCTTATACACAGTTTACTAAAAACTTGCTAATTATAAGAATAATTATCTAAACTAGACAGACAAGTATCTCTGAACTCAATGTCATATAAACCCCCTCCACTTTGGTCCTTCCATCGTTAATAATAAATAATGAAAAAGTAAAAAAAAAAAAGGATAAATGTTTGCTACTTTCTCTCAGTCGTAATCTATAAAAATCTTCTTTTACACCAAAAGAAAAAATCAGGAAAACAGGACAGAAAAGAGACTCCAGCCTCCTTCAGTCTCAAAGGAAAAAGTTTCAAGTGCGTTAAGTTGAGTAGTTTGAAGGACGAACTAACTAACAGCCACAACGTGAACTGGAAACGATGTTTTTTTAAGAACTACTACGGGACCCGGAGATAAGAGTGTTGAGTCTCTGCGAGTGTTTGTTTAAGGTATTACTCTGCCATTATTTGTATACCTGTACTGTCTATGAACATTGTTTGTATACCGACAATATTCACGAAGGCGGCGTAACATTCTAAATTTATTATCACGAGACAAAACCTAAACATTTCTCAAAAAAAAAAACACAAAAAACACTCCATTTTGGTACCATACCCCAACAGTTATCTTCATTCCATTTTTTGTTTGTATACTAAAACAAAATCCATAGAAAATCCCTTTCTGTTACGAGCCCTTTCATTGCAATCATTCCAGTACTTATCTGATTACAAAATGCCCTTACCCCATGTAATATTATCAAAGTTCTGTTTTTTGTGAGTTACATGCAGGGGTGACTAACACATACTCCCTCGTGTACCCCTTAACAGGATATTGTGTTGTGCTCCGGGTGCAGCGGTGCCATCGACCTGTGCATCACCGCCCTCTGCGCCCCCGGCCAGAACATCCTCGTCCCTCGCCCTGGCTTCCCACTCTACACGACCATAGCTGAGGGACTCCTTATCAACTCTAAGCACTATGATCTCCTGGTGAGTGGGGATGAGAGGGGTACAGATGAGTGGGATGAGTGACTGTGAGATACTGAGTAAAGAAAAGTCATTTACTTCTGTATATAAAACACACACACACACACACACACACACACACACACCCGCAAGCAACAAAACATCACATTATAATCCTACACTATCAACACAAGAACCTTTCACTAACCCTTATATAATTTCAATCACTCCACCAATTCCTTTATTCCATGTCAAAACATCAGGATAACTCACACACACACACACACACACACACATTCCAAGTCGTAATTCTGGTCTCCTCTCTCTCTCTCTCTCCCTCCATCCCACCACTTCCATGCACCATAACCAAACAGCCCAATCAGCCATTGCATAACAACAACATTCTAACTCATGAAGTCTCTACATGGTTCAGCTGAGCGAGGACACTTAACACCCCAGCAGCCACAGTAGCGTCGAAAAAGGGCTGGGTTTTTTCTCCCTACTTTACAATGTCATTATATATAGGGAGTGGTGATCTCTTTATCTCCCTTTGTTATCCGAAGGTGAAATAATTATTATGTAAATATTTCAGCTCACATATAGTAGTCTGACATCACCTGACATCTAATAGTAAAGTAATTTCCCCATAAATATAATACCAGTACCACATTAACTACTGAGTTCAAATTCAACCTGCAAGAATATCACCAACATCAACATACAACAATCTCACCAACATCAACATACAACAATCTCACCAACATCAACATACAACAATCTCAATTGACACATACAACACTCTCACCAACATCAACATACAACACTCTCACCAACATCAACATACAATTCCACCAACATCAACATACATACAAATAACCTCACCAACATCAACAACAATATCTCTTAAATACTTTCACCTTCCTGTCAGCCTTATAAAGAACTGGGAGGTGGACTTGGCGTTGGAGGAGTTGATTGACGAGAATTGTGCAGCCATCGTCGTCAACAATCCCTCCAACCCCTGTGGCTCTGTGTTCATGCCGACCACCTGAGGATATAGACGTGGCTGCCAGAAACAAAGTCCCTATCATAGCCGACGAGATCTATAACCATTTTGTGAGTAAAACTACCTGGTGTTATTATTATTATTATTATCACATTGTTATACATTAGTATTATTATTATTATTAATATTATTATTACTGTTGCTATTATTTGAGCTCTTTAGCTAGTCCAGTAGGGATGCGGTGGAAAACCTCAAGATTGGATCACCTGAAGAATTATCATCCCAACTTATTTCACTTACAGATAGACTAACCTAACTTAACCTACAGATTAACCAAATTCCATCCTACAGATTAACCACCATAACTACCCTAACCTAAGTCTAACCTGATCCCCCAAACAGAGTCAACAAGTTAATTAATCTTTAGGTGAAATAAGCAGAGGTGGAGCCTTTCAGGTGGCTGAAAGATCAATTATCTATAAGACACAGGTAAAGGTGTCTGGTAAGGTGTGAAATATCCAACGTTTATCTTTACTCTTATAAGAATACCAACAGCATCAGGGAAGAAGTTGACGTCACAAGTACGAAAGATTGAGAAGTGTGAGTAAGGCACTATTGGGATTGAGGGCAATGATGTCATGGACTCCGTAAATGAGGTATTGAACTCAGTAAATGATGTCATGGATACGGTAAATGACGCCATGGACTCAGTAAATTACGTTACAGCCCACTTACATGAGATTTTACGTCGGTAACAACATCCTGCTATGGTCTTGACTGTCACTCTGTTTGAGAGAGAGAGAGAGAGTGTGTGTGTGTGTGCTTTGACGAGGGCTGTATCACCTGTCCATTCCTGCCAAAAGTTCATTCCTCCAAACTGAAACGCAATTGAGATAAAGCAACAATCAGATAAATGATCAAAAATCATTTTGGAGATTCATTCTTGTGATTCAGTTTCACCGCGAGGAGTGAACTTTGGCCCAATATGACTGTCATTACGAATTACTGTACATGTAAAAGATAAAGTTATTATAGAGTTTATGAGCAATATCAAACGACTTTCTCTCAATCGCAGGCGTTTTTTGGCCGCAGTAATAATAATTTAATTTTCCTGCGCTGAGTTCCGTATTCCAACATTGAGACGGTGTGACTTATTTTGTTTGCCAACATGTGCTGACACGTCCAGGCGTTGAGAATCTGGTTATTTCTGGCAAAACTTAAGAGTCAAAAGTTTTAGTCAAAGTGTCTGAAAAATTAAGACTTTCCTGGTATTTATTTATACCCAAACGTCAGATCCAACTGAGTCGGGCCAACAAGATAAACAACATGAACTGAATTATTCAGAGAACAATAACAAAACAAATGAACAGGAAGAACAATGAGATAAGCAATGATTCATCACACCTACAACCACCCATCACATCCTCCATAGTAACTGGGGGGATGAAGGTCACAAGTCGAGTATGTTGACCAGTTTGGGTTAAGATGAGCCAGATACGACACACCATAGTCAGAGACCTCTGAACAGAAAAACAAATTTTACATATATTAACTTGATCTATATAGCACTGCATATATTGTAACCTAAAAACAACTATTACGTATGTGTATTTTTGAGGGGAGTTAGTATTAAATATGGTCTTCTGAAACTGCCTGAACACCATGAAACCCGCTTGACTCTTCCTCTAAGGTGTCCCTTCCACCACTCATGGTCACAGTGGCATGAAATCTTCGAGGTCACGGGATTTAAAAGGACGTAAATCTGAAGGTGACAACAATTTTAAGGAAGAGACTGAGGTTACATCCGGCAACACTACTGGTATGAGAAACCGATTTATTCCCTTGCCTTTGTCCGATTATTTTCAAATCATAATTTTATAGAAACCAAGAAACACGCAAAGCATACTACATCTTCACTTGTTTTGTGGCTTTCAAGGTATTATGATATCATTTATGTCATAAACAGTTTGTGTCATAAGTGGGTAAGCAGCTGGTGTCCAACCAACCAGGTCATAAACAGCCGCGTCATGAACAGTTGCGTCATAAACAGGTGGTGATGTCATAACACCTGATGTCATTATAAACAGCTAGTGTCCTAAACCAACTGCGCCAACTGGTCATAAAACAGCCGCAGAACAGCTGGTGTCATAAACAGGTGACGTCATAAACACCTGATGCCACAGGTAAACAGCCAGTGTCCTAACCAACTGTGTGCCATAAACAACTCAAAGGCGTAGCCAGGCCGCTATATAAACAGTTGGTTTATAAACAACTGGTGCATGAAATAGTTACGTCAAGGCAGTTGAAAATATTATAAACAGCTGGTTTTATTATAAACAACTGTGTTATTGTAAACAGTTGGTGTCATTATAAACAGCTGGTGCCCCAACCAATCATGTTATTGTAAACAAATTGTTAACTGGCTGCCCTGAAATTTATAGCTGTCTTGAACGCAACTTAGAAGCCTGCCTTGTTCACTATGATAATGGATTTGTCTCCAATACTGCATAAGATATTGTCCATCCTGTCAACTATATCTTTTCTCATCGGCCCTGTCCCTGACTATGGTAAATTGCCCATCAAAGGAGGGGAGGACGAGAGAGGAGGAGAGAGGAGGGGAGGAGAGAGAGGAGGGGAGGGGAGAGGAGGGGAGGAGGCAAGGAGGGGAGGGAGAGAGGAGGAGAGAAGGGAGGGAGAGAGAGAGTGTATATATGTGGGAAGGACGAGAGGAAGGGGAGGACGAGAGGTGGGAGACTGTTTATGGAGAGAGAGAGGAGAGAGAGGGGAGGAGAGAGGAGGAGGACGAAAGGAGGGGAGAGGAGAGAGGAGACTAAAGAGGAGACTAAAAATATAGAGAGAGGAGTGTATAGGAGGGGAGAATGTTTATGGCGGGAGATATATGAGGCATTATATAGGAGATACTGTTGAGAGAGGAGAGGAGGGGGAGGGAGAGTGAGGAGGACGGAGGAGAGGACGAAAGGAGGGGAGAGGGAGAGAGGAGGGAGGGAGAGAGGAAGGAGGGAGAGAGGGGAGGGAGAGATATGTGAATATCGAGAGGAAGAATTAGAGGGAGATCATATATAGCTGATTTATATATGCACTTATTATGTGTATATTTATGTATGGGGAGGACGAGAGGAGGAAGGACGAGGAGAGATATCGTTGATATGCATCATATAAATGGGACACTATAGATAGAGAGTGACAGGAGAGAGTATAACAGAGAAGGGGAGGACGAGAGGAGGGGGAGGGACGAGAGGAGGGGGAGAGGAGGGAGGACGAGAGGGGGGGAGAGGAGGGGGAGGATGAGAGGGAGAGAGTGAGGGGAGTGACGAGAGGAGGGGGAGGACGAGAGGAGGGGGAGGACGAGAGAGGGGAGGACGAGAGAGGGGAGGACGAGAAGAGAAGGAAAAGTAAGACAAGAGGTGGAAAACGTATATAGAGAAGGTAGTTATAACGTATTCAGGTGTGCAGGGATATGTGTGTGTGTGTGTGTGTGTGTGTGTATGTGTGTGTGTGTGTGTGTCCCATAATTGATTTATTAGCCGACACCTGACACACCTACCCACGACCTTCCCTCTTCCATGAACCACCTTCGCTTTTTCGTCCTCTTCCTCCTCCTTGAGCAGTGTGCGTCCAGGCGGTGGTAGTCACGTGTTCATCAGGTGACTAGTTATCATGCTCTCCCCACGTGCTGAGGGCGGGGCCACGCTACCGAGGTGTGGGCATGAGGAGTGAGGGAGCCTTGGAGGGTATGGAGGAGGTATGGAGGGCTGGAGAAGGGGTGAAGGGGTTCCAGGAGATGATGATGAACTAATTGGGGGAGACTGCCTTGGTTCTGGAAATGAGGGAGGAGAGAGGGAGAGGAGGAGGAGGGTGCCTGGGTTCTGGAAATGAGGGAGGAGAGAGGGAGGGAGGAGGAGGGTGCCTGGGTTCTGGAAATGAGAGGGAAGAGAGAGAGAGGGATGGAGGAAATGGAGAGTGGTTGGGTTCTGTAAATGGGAAGGGTGGAGAGAGAGAGGGAGAGGAGTGCCTGGGTCCTGTGGGAAATGATAGGGGGGAGCTGACCAAGATAGAAAAAAACATATAAATTTTCCTCCACCACAGGCAATAATAGATATAAGAAGACATCATCTATCTGGTCTACTGGAACTAAACGTGCAAAGAAACCAACCAAAATGGCGTCGGGATTATACTGAGACTCCTACTATTAGATACATTAATAACTACTAAAAGACAATAATTGAAATACGAAATCATGTTAACCAGTCCCCCACGACCTTGAGCCAGGCAACAACAGTAGAGGTGAGGTAGGCTGCCAGGATCACTCGGTGCACCTCTCAACTTCTCGAGCGAGAGATTTACTGATGTCTCTGTATAATCTCCCCGGATCTGATTTGCACTAATCCTTGAGTGTGCAAGTCGGTTGGTAGCTACAACATGGCTAAGAGTTACGACTGCCTCTTTATAACTTCACAATAACGCTTTCAATTTTTCGGTATGAAACCTATACCAACTTTTCTCTCGCTAGACTCGAGCATACAGTAGATATCCACCAAACTTGAGATGTGTATTTGAGGTCTCCAGTAAAGGGAGAGGGGGGGGAGCGGTTTCCATATGTCCCATCATTTATAACAAAAGAGTGGAGGAGTGAGTTGGAAGGGAGGAAGAGGAGGGGAAGATGGCGGGAAGGGGATGAGATGGGGTTGGGATGGGGGGGATGAGGAGAGGGAGGGGGGAAGAATTCACTTTTAGTACGCGTTCTTATGACGTTCTTATGCTCAGATGTGTGTAATCGAGTATCCTGAATCTGTTTTTACCCAGAGATTCGAAAGAGAAGGAGTTATTGTACACGACAGCGTCTTAGTCCAAGAGCGAGAAACCTGCTTCTCTAAATTTACCTCCTTGGGGCCGCCGCCGCTCGATGTATGGAATCTGAGATGCATTTCGCTGGATTTATTCACACGCCAAAAGTGACCTTGTAAAAAATTTGGTGAGCGCAATAGAGACATATCAAGGGTGTCCTAAAGCGGGTGTCTAAGAAAGAGTATCCTAAATGAGGTATCTTAAGAGGTTGGTGTCTTAAGAGGGCATGTCCACAAGGCGTCAA